ATATGTATATGTATATGTATATGTATACAGATGTATTTGTATATGGATATGTATATGTACATGTACATGTACATGTACATGTACGTGCGCACGTACACGTACACGTACACGTACACGTACATGTACATGTACAGGTACATGTACATGTTAATGCGTATATATAGTTATATGTATAATAGTATGCATATGTATAGAATGTTTGTGTGTATGTGTATGTGTATGTATATATGTAGATGTATATGTATATGTACATGTACATGTACATTACATATACATGTACATGTATGTGTAGATGTGTATGTGTGTACATGTATGTGTATATGTATATGTATATGTCACTATATGTTTATGTATATGTGTATATATGTATATGTGTATGTATGTGTAGATGTGTATGTATATGTATATGTGTATGTATATGTATATGTATATGTGCATGTACATGTATATGTCTATGTATATGTATATGTATATGTATATGTATATGTAACTGTATATGTATATGTATATGTATATGTATACGTAAATGTATATGTAAATGTGTATATATGTATATGTATGTGTAGATGTGTAGATACATGTATATGTATATGTGAACGTATATGTATATGTATATGTATAGGTACATGTACATGTATATATGTGTGTATTTGTATATGTATATGTATATGTATATGTATACGTATATGTGTATGAAATGTGTATGTATATGTGTATGTATATGTGTATGTATACGCGCATGTATCTGCATATGTATATGTAAAATGTACATGTATATGTACATGTGTATGTATATGTATATGTATATGCAAATACATATGTATATAAAGATAGATATGTACATGAAAATGTATATGTATATGTGTATGTATACGTATATGTATGTGTATGTGTATGTGTATGGTTTTGTGTAAGTGTACGTTTATGTGTATGTGTATATGTATGTGTATGTATATGTCTATGTGTATGTGTATGTGTGGGTGTGTGTATGTGTATGTGTATGTGTATGTGTATTGTACGTGCACGTGTACGTGTACGTGTACGTCGCGGAGTTCCGCTCGCCAAGTCGCCCTCCTGCAGGCGAGGCGACTCCGACAGAAGAGACATGATGATGGGGTGCGAAAATCTAATCCAACTGAGTCTGTAGTCTCTCACCACTTATTTAAACTCAGAATTGTCTCTGTAATGCTCATCTGTTTGACAGTCGCTGAGAGCTGTCGGGACAAACGGAAAGCGGTGCGGGCCAGGGCTCAGCAGCTCCTCGCTGCGGCGGGGCTCCACCCTGCCTGAGCGGCACCATCGAGGGGAGCGACCGGCCGCCGGAGCAGGGCGCGCTCGGGGGCTACGGCGCGCAGCTCCACCAGCAAGGCCGCGCGCGTGGCGACGCCGAGGTCCCATCGCAGCCCTACCCTCTGCACTAGGCCGAGCGCCTGAGGGTTGGCCAGCACGTAGTCAATGCGGGAGGGCTCGCCTGACGATGGCAAACACGTGGGTCCCGCGGCTGCCAGGAGGTCCCTCCAGCCTGCCATGCCCAAGACCCCCTCGAAGCCGGAGTCGCCGATCCGGAAGTTGAGGTCGCCCACGAGGAATGCCGGGGCCTGACCCAAGCCCTGCAGCCACCCCGCAGCCTCGAGGGCCTCGATCAACAGGTCCACATTCCTCTCCCTGTCACTCTGGCCGCCGGCGTAGCCGCAGCAGTTCAGGAAGTGCACGGCGCGCCCGAAGCCGAAATGCACCGCGACATGCTGGAGGCGGCCGGGGTGCCGCCCACAGAGGCCCAGCATGGGCTCCGCCCGTGCCTGGCACTTGGCGGGGGCGTGGGCCGCGGCCAGCAAGTGCTCGCCCTCCTGCTCCTGCCCGGGGTGCCAAGTCAATCCCCTCGCCCGAGCGGCAGCGGCTGCGGCCTCCGCCTCCGCTGACGGGACGCGCGCTTCCTGCGCGCAGACCACCGCCGGATCCGCCGCAAGAAGCCCGCGCCAACTGGCGCTCCAGCGCGTCACATTGGCAACCGCCACCGTAGCCGCCACGCCTTCGGGCCCTGGCAGCGACGCCTCGCCCACGCGGACGCCTCGCCACGGCCACCCGCGCCATCGGGCCTGACCGCGACCGAAGTGCACGGCCAAGCGCGGGTGCCAGCCCAAGTGGCATCCAGCGAGGCTCGCCATGAGCTCCGGTCGAGCCGCGCACTGACCCGGCCAACCGGCGCGGGGCCGAGCGCCCCCGGGGCGCCGCGGCTGGCCGCGCCCGCTCGCGTGGAGCAAGGGGGGGGGGGCCTCGCGGCGGAGCCGCCTCGGCTGGGAAGAGGCGGCGGCGGTTGCCAGCAGCGCGGCCCGGCAACCCGCTGGGGCGGGGCCGAAGGCTGCGACGACAGGGGGCCGAATCCCCCCGCCCTCAGCCCGCTCAAGGCCGCCAGGGGGCCGCAACTGCGTTCCTGGCTGCACCTTGGCCCGTGCCGAGCTCGCCGGGCCGCTGCCCAGTGGCCCTGGGAGGGCCGCTGCCGCCAGCGTCGCCCGGCAACCTCGTGCGAGGCGTGCCCTACGGCGGGGGCCGCTGGGAAGATGGCGCCCCGGGCCGTCTTCCCACCTGGGGCGCGGCTGGCAGCGCGGCCCCGGGTGCCGCGCCTCGCCAACCCTGACGCCCCTCCATGGGCTCTGCAGCCCGCGCTCCCGGGATGGCCGCAGCAGCGCGAGCAGCCCCGCGACGCATCCGCAGCTCACAGTTGGCCCTCCCCGGGGCTTCACGCCACCTCTCACCCGCACGCGCCGGCTACTGCGGTGCGTCTGGCGGCGGCTGCGCGGACGTGGCACCATCAGGCACCGCCAGGTGCCACCGCGGCAAGGCGCGCGCAGCGCCGCAGGGGCAACGCGCGCTGCCCAGGCGCCAGTTGCGCGGGCTGGGCGAAGAGAGGGACACGGGGCTCTGGGGAGCCTCCGCGGTCCGTGGACCGGGAACGGTCGCCGTCCTCGGAGCTTCCGCGCAAGGGGGAAGACCAACGCGACCTCGCGCCCACGGAGGCCGCGCGCCGCCTGCTGCCGCCGGGCGCGGCCGCCGCGCGTGTGTCGCAGGGAGGAGGGGGCCCTGCTGCGGCAGGCATGCCTGCATCGGCCGGCGCCCCAGCCGCCCCGCCTCCTGGCTGCCCTGAACCGCCGCCCGGGCCGGCCGCCGCCCCCGCACCACCTGCAGGCCCAGCATGCCCTGCGCCACCGGGCGCAAGCAGCGCGCCCCGGAGCTGCTGCACCAGGGCCCCGGCGCCAGCCGCCTGCCCGGGAGCCTGCAATGCCGCGCATGCGGCGGCGAGGGCAGCGAAGGCGCCGTCGAGCCCTGCGGCTGCGGCGGTCGTGCCCGCGGCATCGCGAGCAGCCGCGGCCTCTGCCTGCACTGCCTGCAGCGTCTGCTGCGCCGCGTGCTGGTCCGCGATGGCCTGAGCGGCACGCGCATCGGCCTCCTCCGCCGCCAACCGGGCAGCCTCGGCCGCAGCCCGCGCGGCCTGCGCTGCCTCCTGCGCCTTCTGCGCCGCTGCGTCGCGGTTGCGCACCGTGTCCATCGCCGACTGCAGGCGGCGATCCAGCGGCCGCGCCGCGCGCTCCGCCTCCCTGAGGCCCGCCGCCTGCGCCTCCAGCTCCTCCACGTGCGGCGCGTGTTCTGGGAACGGCCGCAGCGCCGAGACCCGTGCCCGGATCCCAGCAGTGAGGTCCACCGGCGGAGCCTCCGCATCGGCAGGGTCCGCCAGCCGCGCTGCAGGTGGGGCGGCCGCCGCGGGCGCCTGAGGTGCCGGCTGCGGCGCAGACGGCCCCGTACCTTCGGCAGCCTGGCGCGCGCCCGGGCCTCTCGCCAGGAGCCCTGCCCAAGGTGCCCTCGTTGCTGGTCCCGGCGGCACCGTGCCCTGGGGCGCGCGCGCCGACGGCACAGGCGGCGCCGCCCGCGCTGGCCGACCGCAGCCACGGCAAGCAGTGCGCCAGGCGAAGTTGTCGGCAGTGCCGCAGGCGCAGCAGCCCCAGAGCGGCGTGCGAAGCCCCCTGGCCTCGCCCGCCGCGCCATCGCGCCGCTGCCCCCGCTGCCGCTGCTGCGAGCCCCCGCCAGCAGGACGCAAGGCCGCCTGGCACGCCTTCAGCAGCTCCCCCTGCTGCTTCAGCTGCCGCTGCAACGCGTCCCATGGCGGCTGGGCGGCACCCCCGCGCCCACCGCCTCGGCCAGCTGGCATCGGCTGCGGCCCGGGCGGCGCCAGCAGCGCGCGTGGATTGCCCTACGCGCGCGGGCCCGGGCGCCCGGGGGGGTGGGGCGGGAGGAGTCTTCACAGCAGGGCACTGCCCGCTTCTTGGGCTTCTTGAGCCAAAATGGCTTGAGCCATTTTGGCTCAAGCCATTTTGTGCGCGAGAGCTAAACAGATTCCATGATTTCCATGGCATACAATGGAGCGCTACCCGAGGCTGGAATTCATTTGAACGAAACGCGCAAATCGCTCTTACGCAAGTGTCTGCCAGAGGCACGCTTTTTCCAGATTCGGGCAGAATTTCGCAAGCCTTGGACAACACCCATGAAATCCAGTCGACGTCGGCATCGACCGAATAACTATCGAGTTGCGAATGCCAAACATAGTGTGTGGTCTTTGTGGAAGCTGTCTCGGAGAGCGTGGGCCAGCAATCAAACATAAACAAATTTATCGAGGTGCTACTAAGAGTTGGAGCGAATTACTTGTGTCGTATGCTTGGAGCGATCCACACACACACACACGTGACATAGTCGGAAGCCAGACGTGTTCGAGCGCCACACCTGTGAAATCCTCCTCCTCCCTCTCCTCGTCCGCCACTTCCTCCTCTTCCTCCTGCCCCTCTTCCTCCCCCTCTTCCTGGTTCACCCCCTCCACCTCCTATATGCCTTCCGATTGGTCCCTCGCTCTCTCCACCTCGTCGTCCCCACTCTGGAAGGCAGCAACTGCCCCTAACGGCGGCGCGAAATCACCTGGCCGGGCCGCATGCTCTGAGCGCCCTCCCCAGGAGAGCTCGGCCAGGCCCACGCGTATGGCGACTGGCTTCCTGGCGTCGCTATGGTTTCAGGTAAAGGCAGGTGGCTTCCCAGGCGCAGAGGGCACCTCTACACCACCACGCCTGGCCATCCTGGACCACGGCATGGTAATGTGCGCCCTCCTGGTCGAGGCCAGAAGGGTACATACGCCATTCAAGGGCCCAGATGGCTCTGGCCAGGCATGATGTACAGGTACGGTCTGCGGACCCAGCTCTGGCACAGACCACCGGACGCGGTCGCTCGCTCTCGCCCTCCGTCCTCCGTTCGACGAGCACGTGACCATACTGCCACAAAGCAGGGTAACACGATCTGCGAAGCGAATGCACGCAACGTCACCGTGGCAGCTCCGAGCTAGGCCCGATTGATACGGAACGCTGCGAGCGAAGGCGCCATCCTAACCCTTCCCCAACCAATCCATTGACGCTTGCCCCTTTTTGACTCGCCCCCACGACACCAGTACTGTGATCCCCTCACGCCAAGGAAACGATCATTAACAAGGATGAGACAGGAAGAGAAGGTGAGTGTCAAAGAGTGGCGCAGCGTCCAGAACTGCCACCAACGGTTCTGCCGCGCCGGGGCATGCACCAGCAGAGCCCACCTGTTCTCAGTCTTGGTCTGCGACTTCGTCTGCGACTTCGTCTGCGTCTGGGTCTGCGTCAGGGTCCTACTTATGGAGGTGAAAACACATTCGATGGCCCGAGGGCCCAGAGGCGTGCTAAGTTCTCCGGCAACAGCTTTAGAACATTTCGACTTCGCGCGCGCGGGGCGGCCTCTGGGGATCCCCGGACGAAAAAAACGCGACGGACTCCCCGCAGACTCCGGGTCAGAAATGGCGCAACTCCCGGGCGCAGTTCTGGCGGCTCCCGGATCGCTCCAGGAGCGCCCCGAAGGGGTTCCAGAGGGCTCCGAGTCGCACACAGATCGCTCCCAGGTGTCCAAGATGGCCTCCAGACTGCAATTCCGAGGTTGAGCAAGCCTGAGCATGAGTGAGTGAGTCCAGCAGGGTAGCAGATGTTTCATATTTGTTCCATATTCCATGGTGTTGTATAGCTTCAGTTTGTGATTGCATTTGTGGTTTTACGTATGCGTTTTGCCTGCTATCGTCTTGGCTCAAGCGCCCCCTCGCTTGTGCTCGGAGGCACGGGAGTTTAGACGCCCTGTGAGCAGGGCACGAACTTCAGGAGTTCAGAAAAGGATTAGAGATCAATACCGCTGCGCAATTTCCGCCGACTACTTGCATGGTAGCAGGAGCACGTGGTTGACACGGAGAGGGACTACGATGACCGAGGATCATCGAGGCAAGGTGCCAAGCTGGGATGGGGATCCCAAGACTTGGCTGACGTACAGGCGGAAGGCCCTCCAGTACCAGGAGGGCACCAAGAGGAAGGACCGGTACCTGTGCGGCCCGCGGCTGGAGGCGAAGCTCACGGGCCGGGCCGAGATCGCGGTCGAGCGCTGCAAGGCCGGGTGGCTCTCCAGGCCAGATGGCGTGGAGCGGCTCCTGGCGTGGCTGGAGCGCAGATGCTCTCGACAGGCCGTGCCAGATGTCGGCCAGGAGCTCGAGACGTTCTTGATCAAGACGAAGCGCCGCAAGCTCGAGCCAATGCAGCAGTGGACGGACCGCTTCGAGACAGGGTACCAGTACCTCAGGCGTGCGCTGGCACGCGCGCTGGGACACACAGTCCCGGTCCAGGTCGCCCCAGCGTGGAAGTGGACAGGGCGACCATACCGATGGATCGAGGTCGAACGTGGCTGGCCATTCGAGGGTAGCGAATGGACGTGGGAGTACACGGACGGCCTGCCAGACGATGAGAAAGAGGACTCACACCACTGGAGCGCTGCTGACCAGGATGCGGACGCCGAGGAGGAGCTCGGGGACATGCCGGAAGTGTTCCCGAGCCTGGTCCTGGGCTGGCCGATGCTCGTGCGGTCGGGGCTCGACTCGCGCGAGAGGGCGGCCATCATGACGGCGACGGGCGGCTCGCTGGAGGTCAACACCATCCGGGAGAAGCTGATCTCGAGCTGGGAGGACGACGACCTGGCGGAGCGTGATGGGCACTCAAGGTTCCCGAAGGCGTACACAGCCCAGCTTGGAGAAGATGATCGCACATGGCTTGACGGAGATGAAGCACTAGATGCAAGCAGCTTCGCAGCCGACATGGAGAACAGCGAGTGGCAGGAGGAAGAACCAGGCCCAGAGGAGGCGAACGATGACGACATCGAGAACTACTTGGCGGCTCAGCAGGAGGAGGCGGAGGCGCTCGCGGCGATCCACACCGCCCAGCGTACCCTCCGCCAGGCTCGTGAAGCTCAGGCAGACAGCAGGCTGAGCAGGGGCTTCTACAAGGGAGGACGGCCAGCACAAAAGGGGTCAGGCAAGGGGTTCCCAGCGGGATCACGCCGACCACTTCCTCCCCAGGTAGGAGGTAGAGGCAAGATCTTGCCACCAAACAAGGGGCAGAAGAAGTGCGCGAAGTGTGGAGGACCCCACTGGGCTCAGGACTGCCAGGACCGTCATGACCCACGTCTACGGCAGGGAGCTGCAGGCACGCAGGAGGCGAGCGCGAAGGTAGCAGAGTGCAGGAAGGAGCTGAAGTTCAACCTCGTGGCCTCGCTGGTCGCCGAGCAGGAGCCCCTGGACTCGAAGTGCGAGGCGATGTTTGCGGACCAGGCCATCCTCGAGGGCAAGGGCATCGTCGACTTAGGGTGCACGGACGCCATGGGTGGTGAGCGTGCCCTGGACATCGTGGCCCGCAAGAACTTGGAGAAGTATGGCGACACCAGGCTGCTGGACGTGAATCTGGGCTACAGGCCAGTCTACAGCTTCGGGAATGGCGAGAAGGAGCGCGCCTACGGACAGGTGAAGTTCGGCATCACGGGCGCGGGCGTGGAAGGCGACATCGCCATCAACGGTTTCTCGAAGGATGTCCCGATCCTGGTGTCCAAGAAGGTGTTGAAGAAGCTCGGCGCCGTCGTGGACTGCGAGACTGGGGTGGCCGTGTTCGTGAAGCTCGCACCGGACATCCCCGTGCAGCTGGAGGAGTCACCTGATGGGGGACACTACTACCTGAGCCTGGTTGACGACTTGCTGGAGCAGCGCGTCAAGGACCAGAACCAGCTGCAGAACTTCAAGACCATCTGCGAGAGCATGCGTGAGTGGGATTGCCAGCCCGTGGCCGCAGTGTGCCAGGGGCCAGACAGCAGCTCGGATGACCGGGCTGAGCAGTCGGAGCGCCACATGCATCCATCTCGATCCGATCACAGCGTTGTCACCGATGCGTCTCCAGTCGCTTCAGCAGGTGGGTGCAGAGGCCAGTCGTGTGGCCAGGCTTGCGGCATTCATCACAACAGTCGGCCACAGCCTCAGAAGGGCCCCGCAGTCGAAGGTAGTGGCCGTCACAGTGTTCAGTCTCAGTCCCAGGTGGACCGGGTACCCCAGGTGAACCAGGGGGCCCAGCTGCAGATCCATAGCCGTTCGGGCTCGAGCCAGGCAAGTTCACTCGAGTCGACAGCGACCGACGGCATCCAGACGCCCGCAGTTCCAGATCCACCAGATCTTCCATATCCTCCATATTCCAGGCCGAAGGCCGTCGATGTCAGAAAAGGGATGCGCTGGGGTAATATCATCCGTGGGGCGGCCCAGCTCACCTGCGCCAGGATCGCATGCTCGTGCGGCGCGGCCACTCCAAATGCCAACGTCTCGCAGTGCAGTACAGGGCCTCTACAAAGCGGAGGTGCTGCATCTACTCCAGGAGCTTGGCCTGCCGTGCAGTCCGGCCTGGGGCGTGGACGAGCTGAAGCAGGTCCTCAAGGAGCACATGTTTCCGAAGGACGAGACGCCAGTGCAGATGGCCATGAAGGGTCTCAGCTCGATGAAGAAGTCCCAGCTCTTGGCGAAGGCAGAGGAGGTAGGTGCCCACGTGACACAGGGCATGACGAATCCGTCGCTCAAGCTCTCGATCCGCAAGGCCATCCTCATGAAGCACACCCCGGAGCCGACCGACTACCTGGGCTTCGGGAAGCACGGAGCCATGACCTACCTGCAGGTTCGGAGCCAGTACCCGTCCTACGCAGCCTGGTGCCAGAAGGAGGCGAACCAGGAGAGCAGCTGGGAGCTGGCCCGGTTTGCCTCGTGGCTCAACGAGCAGGAAATCATCGACGAGAAGGCGGGGGTGACCAGGGATCCGAAGGAGGTCCCGAGGGAGCCGCACAAGGCTCGAGGGGGCGCGAGGTCATCCCGCAGGAGAACGGTAGACGCGATCATGGAGGACGAGATCGAGGAGCAGGAGAAGCTCGAGGCTGCGATCAAGGTGCAGAAGGAGGAGAAGGAGTCCAACCGCTTGGTCCAGGAGCAGATGCTGGCGGCGCTGAACCAGCTCAACCAGAGGATCGGCCAGCTGGAGGGCCAAGCGAGCTCAGCCAGTTCCAACGCCGGGAGCTTCGTACAAGTGGGTTCCAGTCCGAGTGGTCTGGCAGAGGTTTGAACTGCACGAAGGAGCTGGACCCCAGGAAGCAGCGCTGGCTTGCCAAGTGCATCCAGGAGAGCGGCCACTTTGAAGACTATGAGGCGCTGATGGCCCACGGCGGTACCAAGTTGATGGAGGTCGCGTGCAGCCCGACGTCCATTCTGAGCACGAAGATGGCAGAGAAGTTCGGCAAGGACGCTGTATGCCGCATCAGTGCGTGGAACGGTTTCAAACTGGGGACCCCTGGCGGCAACCAGAGGGCTCGGGAGGCACGTGATGAGGCCGAACCAGACCACCTTTGGATCAGTACGAGGTGCGGCCCCCTGTCGAACCTCACCCTCGGCTTCAACGGCTCCAACCCCATCAGGGCCGAGGCCACCAGGAAGCGCAGGTTGCAGGCCATCAAGGAGTACAAGGGCGCGGTGCAGCTGGTGTACGACCAGGTGGCTCAAGGCAAGCATGTACACTGGGAGTGGCCCATCAAGTGCGAGGGCTGGGGCCACACGATGATCAGGAAGATGGTGGAGGACTGCTCCATGACTGTGGTGAAGGTGGCAGGCTGCCAGCTCGGCGTGAAGGACGGGAAGGGCCTGTCGCTGTTGAAGGAGTGGCTGATCGCTACGACGTCTCCAAAGATGGCAGCCCGGATGTCCCTGGAGTGCCCAGGAGATCACCGACATGGGGAGCTCACAGGAGGCAATCTTACAGCGGCCACCAGCTATTACCCGGACGAGTTTGCCAGACGAGCTGTTCGCGCGATGACCGAGGAGGCCACGCCCGACTACCACGAGTTCATGAGGTGCTTGGTAGAGCCTGGGGAGGCGGCTGACCAGGCGATGGTGGCCAACCAAGAGGAGACAGAGATGAACTCGGACGTGAGCTCGAAGGAGTACCAGCAGATCATGAGGTGGCTCACCTCGATCCACCGTGGCTCAGGTCACAGCTCGAAGGCCTCCATGCTGAACGCACTTCGGAGGAAGGGCGCCAGCCGACAGGTGCTACAGGTGGTTGAGGACTTCCACTGTGACTCTTGTGAGGAGGCGAACAAGTTCAAGCCCACACATCCGCCCGTCAGCTTAGAGGCCATCCCGCCGAAGTGGAAGCACATCCAGGCGGACCAGTTTGAATGGGAGCACCCGCAGACGAAGGTCAAGTCCAAGATCTCCCTGATCATAGACGAGAACTGCCGGGTGCGCGT